CCCCCCTTTCAGGCTGATCATTTGGATTGGCTATCGAATGGCATCATTAGTTTTTTCAATTTTCTTGAAATTTTGGTCGAAAATCAAGTGTTGTCGAATTTGACCTAAATGGGGTTATTTCAACCCTTGGGGCTGCTTCGCCCCTCGCCCCAAATGTTTTTGAAACTATTTTCGATTCCGATTCCAATGCGACAAACAGATTTGAGATTGCTCTCAATTTCAACGAGAAATTGATGTGTGCAGAAAAACGGCATATAGTATCAGAACCTATGATTAAGACAACAACCTAATCATCATCGATGATTAATTAATCAATTGCACAATCACTTAATCATGATTAATAGCGATTAAGTGATTAAGTGGTCGTATTAATCATCGTGAATTTTGGATGTTTGATTAAGATTAATTATTCTTAATCAGATAGTCCGCCCATCTGTAAGCAGCATAAGATGATTTCATCCAGTTAGGAATGAACAATGTCAAGTGATTTTTGAAATAAAAAAAAAATACGAGCAGGTCGAGAAAGGGAGAGAGCAAAAAAAAAGAGACGCACGAGGGGAAAAGCATTGAAACGGAACGTATGGTATTCATTGAAAATGTTAAACAGGTGTGCGTGTGAGTGTATGTTTTCGTGTATGTATCTTTTCGGATCTGTACACAAACGTACGAATGATTTATTTTCACATTTGATTTGTTTGTGCGTCCTCTCCGAATGTCATACATATTAAATGAAACTTTTTTTTCTTCCAGTGTTTGTACCAGTGACACCAAGCTCTGTTCAGCTCATCCCTTTTTTCCTAACGCTCTACGCTACAATGAAATTGTTTACAGTTTTTTAGGTTCAAATTCTTATTCGGTATTTTTTTTTCTCATATCATTGGAGCTGCCTCGTACTCCATGCTTCGTGCCATTCCGTTTGTTTCGCACGCTCATTCATCAGCATTGCAGCGACACGAATAACAAATATTCGACGAAAACAAAGTATCGTTATTTTTCCATTTATTTACGATTGCAGAGCTACGGTTTGGTGATGTTTTTTGCGATAAGAAATTTTAATTTTCATATTTTTACGAGTCCAAAGTGTTGTTGGATTTGTGGATGAGTGTGAGTATTTGTATGAGTGTATGTGTGTGTGTGCGTGCGTGCGACGGTAAACACAAACGGAAGGCTATATACTTCACATGATAATATTTGCCCTAAATGCTATTCCGCATTTGAGCTTTATCATAAACCGGAAAATAAAACCGACAACTTCATATCTTTCGTGGCACATTCAATGAAATCATATCACGCAAGACAAATTTTCTTCAATGCAGGATGACATGTATGTTAATTCGAAAACCGGTTTTAAACTTTGTTTTCTCTCCCTCCCTTTTTTCTATATCTATCTCCCGCATTTTTATTCGCGCGTTCACTTGTGAACTCAAAAATACGCTACCGTATACAGCACGTATCATGTGCTACTTGTTCGTCCAATAATTGTTATTCACTCTGCTACACATTGGCGTCAAGTTTGTGTCGAAGTACGCCTATTGCAGTAGTAGCCATAATAATAAATTTAAGTCATCATCATAGAGCATTAAGTTTGATGCGACCATTGGACCATAATAGAAAATGCACAAAGAACAAACTTTTGCGCTTTACCATAACAATGAAACGGCTCACTGAAATGCATTTAATGGATTTTTTTATTACTTAGCATTTTGGGCGATTTTTGCTTATGGAATATCAAAATGAAAATGAAAAAAACTGTAGAAAACTTGGAAAAAGTATTGCCAATTAAAAAAGAAGAGGCAGTCACAGTGTTTTCGCGAAAAAAATGCTGTTTAAAGAAAAACAAGACGAAAAAAAAGAAGAAAAAAATGAGCACGGGCTTTTAACAGGCAATGTAAGTATGTGTCACTTGTAATGGTCTGTAATGGTACTTTTCATTTTGGTTTTCGCTTCTGTGTCTATTTTTTTCGTCCTTTATTCGTCTCAAGTAACGCGGCTGGCACCCTCAAATATTTTCGCCCATACTCGAAAAATCACTTTAATGCGTTTCGAAAGAACCATCATGTTCGAGGATTTCCAGAGACGTAATAATTGTATGTTTGCATTTGCACGGCTAAGTGCTTTTAAATCATATAAAGTTTTGCTTGTGTGTGTGTGTGTATTTCTGTATCGTTGACTCATGTTGATTTGACTAACATATAATCATTTTTTGCCTGCATAAATTATGGCTGACGGTATTTACATCTAAATATTGCTAGTTGAACGGGAGGATCTAACTTTTAAATGTGTGATTCGCATAAAATAACATTTGAGATGGCGCATCGAAACCATTTCAGCACACAACAAGTGTGCTGTGTGCGGCTAAAGCAATCAAATTGCTGTGTATCAAAATTAAATCACTCAGTCTCCGGACGGGCGAATGGGGACGGTTGTTGCTGTTGTTGTTGAGAACGGTTCAGCCGTCGCATACAACACAAACCGAATATAAATTTTCATTAAACGATATCCAACAAAACAAAAGCCACGCATAAATTCAAGTTCATTAAAAAGCTTCCCATTTAATATCCTGTTATAGGCTGAAAGTAGGCTCATCCATGGACATACGAACATACACATAAATATGCTTGATACATTCACAAAGTTCCTCGATGACTTTCGTGCGCCACATTTATTCACTCGTACTTTCTCTTTATCTCTCACTCTCTTCCTATTCATCATCAATTCGCTTACGAGCACGTGCAGTGCAGCGTGCGCTCTTGATGGACAGAAGTTTGAATAAATCGGTCGTTTTCTATATTTTCGCCAAATTTACTTCTTTCGATGAAAATGTGTCATCATCTCACGTAATGACTAAATCATTTTGTCAAACGTGGAATTCGTCTCAAGTTGTTACTCATGCCGCATTGATGCGTTCGGTTTAATTTGCGTGAAGATTGCCAAATCAGCTTATCAAAAATGCTGTCCGTAATTAAAGAAGTGTTCGGCAACAGCATGTCACTTTTCGCAGCCACAAATACGAAGCATTTTAAATTTGAATAATTATCAATAATTCTTATTTGCCGGACGAAATGGTTTACTAATGGGAGCTCAAGCAAACAAAAAATAAACCCGTAGAATGAATAATAGAGTAGCATATAGCCCAAGCTTGTCGACTTATGCCGTGAATTTGCTGAATAAATATGGTGGCTATTTGATCTATTGGAAAACCACAACACGCCATAAATTATACAATGCTGATTGCGTTTGTCACCGTGTTTTGCTATTCAATAGCAAATGTTGCACGTATATTTAGTACACGCACACACACACACTCACACGGTGTACAACGCCTGTCTCTGACTGAAATCGTTGAGTCCGCATTCGGCGTTGTTTTGATTGAGCCAAGCCGGTGTGGCATTCATAATATAACAATTCATCAACCTATCACGTCATTTACACGACTAATGTGCGTCACAACTGCGATTTTATCTACGTTTATATCAATAATTTAATTTGGTCGTTTGTCAAAAATATTCCGTTTTTCATATTGGAATCGCAATGCTGCCAATAACTTAGCCAAAAATAATTTCAACAAACTTTACCCAATATACAAATAGCAACAAAATACACGTTTAATAGAGTCATGAGGCAGTACAGAGATTGTACCGACAAATCGTTCATTCGATCCAAAAAAAAGTCTCCGACGGAAGGCCATTACCTCATTCAATTTAATTATTTATTTATTTGGATGAATCTTTTTAATGAAATTATGTTTAATTTGTTCGACATTTAATTGAATAAATGGCACCTTGCAAATTATGATTGATATGTACGATTCGATCTTAATCCAGCCCAGCCGAAATTTGTATGAACCAAGTGAAATAATTCAACTTGAGATTGACTCGTAAATCAAATGTTACTCCTCGAACGAATGTCACATATTTTCGGGTCTCGTTCATTGTAATTTTAAACCAGAAAAAAATGATACACTTTTCAACGCTTGAATAAATACACATTGTCCATATAAAATCGTGGTAAATGCTGTTTTCAACTACAATTAGTATTCAAATTTAACTATTAAAATAATAAATTGGCTAATTTACACCGTACACCATGCAAAACAATGCAATTTTGAGTTTTCAACTAAATTATTTTGCATTTTTTTCGAAAACACTTGAAACTTCCAAATGTGAAATGCTGTTAAGTCTTCAGAACAACTTGAATACATTAATATCATTCAAAGCGTGGTCGTTTTTGTTTGGAAACTTTTTCGCTGTCTAACATTTGAAAAAAAAACGATGGCAAAAAAATGTTGGCTCGAAAATGTGTTTAAAATTACTGCGTTTGTGTCATACTGCAAACGAAACCATCAATCTGGTTCAGAGAATTATGTGCCCTAACTGATTTGGCCCTACTTACTACACAATACGTTACAGCCATGAGACGATGAATTGCTAAAGTTTTCATAGTTTCAAATACCGTCCAAATATATCGAAGCACACCAATTCCATTAAATCTATAAACATAGTATCCGATTTCATTGTTAATCAACACAGTCCAGAATCTCTCTCTCTCTCTCTCTCACTCTTTCTCGCCCACAAGCTTTGTCGGCTGCCATTGAGAAAACGATGTCGAGATTTATCGTTTACTGAAATAGTCGCCCTTTGCACACGACGACGACGACGACGACGATGACGACATCACATGCGATTCTGCTGACTCCTGCCTGACGGTCGATAGTGGAAGAAGTTTTGTTTCCAAACCAACTTCGAGGTTGTTTGGACAAAGTTTTCGATGGAAATTACTTTTTTATTGTCAACGATTTTATTGGTTATAAATTGGTGAGCGCAATTGGCGAGAGAAAGAGAGAGAGAGAAGAAAGTTCATACATCAATAAATCAATGTTGGAAACTGTATGAATATCGTTTTACTGTTTGAAATTATGATTTTTTGCGTAACGTTCTCGAAGCTTCAATGGCATTTTACATTAAGAACGTTATGAAATGCGCATCCTTTGTAGCCATCAGCCAACAATATAAAAAAAAACCTGCTCAACCACTCCGGATCAATGGAAATGAGCAATCCCCAAGGACGTCAGTTAAATTTATTGGACCAACGAAATACCATAAAATGAATTCATTAAATCGTGCAAGCGTTTGCTACCAATTTCAACACTTGCATTCACGTGTTCGGAATATTGATTCATTTTTCTCTCGTTCGCGTATAAAGTAATCAATAATTCAATAATTATACGTGTTGCATAATGTTCAAAAACTTCGGTAGTGTTCGTACGGTAGATTATCGAAATGTTGATAGTTTTCATACAACTCATGCAACTTTTTGAATCACATGACTCTAGCTATGGTTGCAATATGTAAGTAATTATGGATATAAAGAAACTGATACGAAAACTAATCACAGGTGCTTTAATATGTGAATGGGTATTGATGTTGAAAGTTTCGTGTGAATTTTTCACGTTTCATTCAATCAAGATGAAATAAACGATTATAATACATACTTGTCTACACAGCGATTTGATCAATGAAGTTGCTCAACTGAAATAGCCATTTTCTTGGAACAATCTGCAAAAACCTGAAAATAAAGGAACACCAAAATGAAATTTATTCGATTTGATGTTTAATATGTAACCCAAAAAAAATGACAGCAATCGATAGCCTATCTAAAAAAACTGTATCGCTGCTTATATTTGGTATCAATCAAATATATAAGCCGCCCATAGAACCAATTTTGAATAAATATGGAGAAACACACCATGTGTCTATAATAAAAATATTTGCATTAAAACAATGAGAGCCTGATTGAGAAAGATTATCGCGTGGAAAGCTTCCCAATTTATATTGTAGTCTTTTATATTGCTGGCCATAAAATAAAGCTGCTTTGCTCTACGTTCTCACAATCATGGAATTCAGACAGAGTAATGGTCATCATATCTGTGAATTGATGACGAATTGAAATAGTGCGCTATCAATTCACTTTTTTTTTCTTCGTTGTAACGCTTGAGATAAAGCATTGGAATTGCTCGTGAATGGAATAACCAATAAAATTCATGGAAAAAGCAATAAGCAATGGACGAAGAGACATTATCTATTATCAGTTATCAAAAATGGATTATTATTATTATGTCTTTACTATATGATTTTTTTTTTATTAAACTAGACCAAATGGGACACGCGAGCGCAAGGTGGGTGTTTGGTTGTGCTGAAATGATAGCCAAGAACAAAGCTCAACGAATTGAATATGGGCCACAAATAAAAGAGGGCAAGTGAGATATGCGAACAGTGAATGGAAGCCAACGCAAAAGAACAAAGCTTGAATGGGAAGAGCTAAGGACGAAAACGGATGATAGTGGTAGCACAGACAGAGTCCACAATTGAAATGTATATGACGATGAACAATGACTCATATCCGAATCGAATGCCGAATACTGTATAAATTCACATGCCAAAAACACGGTTTGGGACAACAAATAATAATACACGAAAACCGTTCGAATCAAGTGTGTGTTGCGTACGAAACCATATTATTTTGGGTGAGTGTTTCACGTCTCGTCTTTTTGCGAGAACCACTGATGCTGGTCGCATACACTCATCGTTACACACGCACAGCGCTACACAATCGCAGAAATTGTGTAGACGCATGGGAATATCGTAGTCTAGGATTTATTTAATTTTGTGCCCGTTGTTTATTTCGTATACACACCGGTATGCATTCGATCGGCTTTAGCCACATGAGCGGAGGGAGATTCTAAAACCTAATATCTGTTTCAATGCGTGTGGCTCATCTTCTGATCTTTCAATAATCCGTTTGGAAAATTATGATGCGACGTCTTTGCCATTAGCTTCCGCTCACTTCGATGTTTCTCTTATTGTCTCGTAATCGTATACAGTATTCATGGGAGAAAAGGTTAAATGATGAACAGCTTACGGGCTAAAAATGTTAGGCAATATGCGTAGAACGATCGATGCAAAACATCAAGAATGCGAATACACCACCAAAATCCAGGCAATAAAAAAAAGAGAAGCAGAATTCGAATCCCAATCCAAAGCCAAGAACAATTCTCATGCATATAAATTAAGATATGGATATGACTTGAAATTAACCATATTTTCATTCATTCGCAATCTGTTTTATCTATGACGAAGAGAAATCAATTACGACATTTGTGTGCCAGCTCCGTGCCGATAATAATAATAATACAATAACAGTAATAATGATAATAACAGCGGCAACAACAACAGCAACAATGACATCAGAATAATACATATTATGTATGTATGGAAAACAACATAACACTACATCACTTGATAGCAGTTGCCTTTACGTCGTAGTTCGTGTTTTATCACCGACACATGAATCGCATCTCGAGAGGGATTGGTTATCTTTGCATTTCATAGTCACTTGGTTTCAAATTAATAAAATGAATCGCAACGCATCGCATTGGATTGGATTGGATTGGATTGGATTGGATTGAATTGAATCGAATCGAATTCGAAGTCCGATTTGTAGCGTGTAAAAACATAATACGATTGACATCATACACGCACTACCACTAAACATCGGAGCAAACGGTTGAGCATCACAATCCCATTGATCGCTGTGCACAGAAATTGAACATTTCACTCTTACACCCATACACTCTGACATTCTTCGCTTCAGCTCTGACGCTCATCAAAAATGTATGGCAGTGTTTTTGTTTTCGAATCAAGAGATATTAGATATGAATTGTCGGTTGGTTTAACGTGTGTATTTTACCGGGGTTGGGGATCTTGATGCTCTCGTACGCGAAGCAAGCGACACAGAGACCCAGCAAGAGATGGTTCATCATTCCAAGTCGTGAATATGTTGGATGATTGTCTTTTGTTTTGATATTGTCATTGCTTTATCAATCTAAATGTATAAGGCTGTAAGCTTTTATTTGAGCCTCGGTTGCCATATCCATAAAAGCATAAAAGTCGAATGGAAATCGAAAATATGACTACGGCACAAATACATGCACAAACACACACACACATTGTGCCACATTCATGGCATACGCATACGCGTGCAATATACACATACATGAACAATCAATCTGATGTGTATTTATATTCGTTAAACAAACTGGAATGATAACGCTATTGATTTTCCTTTGACTTCTCTGCGCTTTTGGCGGTATTGTTATGGAACGTTTTCGTTTCGCCTTTTGTTTCCACCGTATTTTGTGCTCAAACTTCCGATTCCAGCAGCGTGACACCATCGACTTCACTCTAAGTTTCGATGCATGGGAGAGCATGAGAGTGAGAGTGAGGGCGCGCGCGCAAACAAATATGTGCTGGCTTTAATGTAAACATAATGAATGATCACTGACAGTTAACACTGACAGTGGCTAACTACCTGGGCAAGTTTCTGTGTCATAGTTTGTTTACATTGTGCTCATTTGATTTCAGCCTCGTGGATATAAGCTCTTTTTTTTAATAATAACACAAAGACCGTATTGCGTTATTGTCATTCTTCATTCTACAACCTACAACCTCCATCTTCCATCTTTCATCCTCCCACACCGAGATCGTTTTTGTTTGTTGCTATGTATACAACTGGTATTTATTTTCTTTGTGCCGACCCCTATTTCCTTCTCCCTCTCTCTCTCTCTCTCTCTGTTCAACTTGCTGTCTCCTCTCTCTCTCTCTCTCTCTCTCTCACTACCTTTTTATCTTCTCCATGACTTTTCTATTTTGGCTCGTTTGCCGCCTGAATCGATGGCGTTTCATAAAAAGCATACCCATAAAAAATAACGCAAAAAACATGTCAGTTTTGATGAAACGCAAATATCTGGTTCAAGGCGAGCTTAGATTGCCAAAGAAAAGCAGTCTCGACTCATATACTCCACTCAATGCGATACGAGATTATAGGCAAATCACAGCATACAGTATACAAAAGCTTCTAGGCACATTCACGTATGTCGCGTCGATTTTATGCTAACAAGCCGCTCACTAATCTGCATCTTTTGTAAATATTCGTGAATGACGAAACGAATGAAAAGTAAGCATGTGAATCATGGTGATGGTATTTCTTTGAAGTTGCGACTCCGACGACCGGCTGGACACCCACTGGCTTAGGAGTATCACTGCTTTGAAGCATATACACAGTACACGATCAAAACAAATAATGAAAACAGAACTACTGTAATAATAAAGAGAGAAGATTCAATGTTTGTTTTCTGTTGCCGTCGTTTTCGTTGTCGTTGTTGTTGTCGTCATCGTTTTTTATGCGAATGGCCGGCAATAGGGATGCGGTCGAACTTGATGTTCCTTTTTTATGTTTGTTTATACAGAAAATCCGCTTTGTGATGACAATGTGTGTGTATTATTAAAGCTATAAGTCGGTATTAATTTTTAGATTATATTTTGCTGTTACGAGTATTTTGAACCGAAAACCAAGACACACATGATACATGAATTCTTTTCATTACACCATCACATACGAGTTTTAACAGAGTCAGCTTGTCTCTGTCTTCTTCTCGTTACAATTTCCAAACAACCATAAAAGGCAACGCTGTACATACACATCTACACAGAAAAAGACTCGACACAAAACTATGCTTTTCACACATATAAACCATGAGTCCGTAGCGCCGAATATTTTTAGCGAATGTAATCAATCGATAAACAAAATTGTCATAATTTTTCCGAATGAAGAACAGCTTATATATACACATCCATTTTATAATACACACTCCCATATGCAAATTTCCTAATGAGTTCCGTGCCTCTCCTTTGTCCTTTTTATGTTGAATGAAAGTTTTCGTCAAAAAAAACACACACGCACACACAGTATAACCAATATCACAGCTGCATAAATATATATGGTCCATATTTTTAGTTTGTTTTGTGCGGTTGTTGTTGTTGTTGTTACAGCTGTTTTGTTCATTGACGATTACAGTTCACTTGGCTCTTTGTTCCATAAGTTTGGCAGTGAAACACTAAATGCGTCGAATCGAGCACAGAGAAAATGTAATAGACGAACGTCATTTTTTTCGTTACTTTTTCTCCAAAACAAATGATGTCAACAGCTTGGCTTTTTTTTGTTTCCCTCCGAAAGGGAAAAAAAAGAAGTGTGAGATAAAACATGAGCAATGAGTACAAAAGATAGAACATTTCCAGTTGTTATTCTTTTTGTTTCGTCCTCTTTTTTTTCTGTGATTCAATGTAATTCTCCGAGCAACAGTAGCAAAAATACGTGACCATCGCATGCAATGTACTCTCGGGCATCATCTTCGTGATGAATATTATTTTAGAAAATAAATTATTCACATTCGTTTTCGCACATTTATCGTGATTACTGCTGCAATCTATTTCAATGCGAATAATAATTTCCAATCCATTACATGTTTCGGGCCATTCGACAAAGCTCGTTTATGAACTGTATGTGTGTCCCATGGCTATGCTATACGCAAAGTTTCTAAAAAGCATTTGAGCAATTAGGAATATTAGCATAGAAGAAGCGAGAGAAATCTCGTTAATTAATTAATTAGAGTGGTGATTTATCTCAATGAAAAATCGCATTTAATAATAATCTGGATTTAGTGTGCGGGC